GTGTCGAAACTGTCGTTATGAGCGTCGCTTTTTTTTTCGTCGCAGCGCACAAAAGTCCCGCGAAGATGGGAAGAAGCTGGTGCGGGCTTGATTTGTGAAAAGCAATTCTCGTGTGATGGCTGCTCCTTGACGGCTCGTGATGTTACACTTAGCACGACGGAGGGTTGATGGGAGATAAAAAAGAAGTCCGAAAGAACCTAAGAGTAGACGGCGTCGTAAGTCGTCCGATGACTCGCACTTGACAAAGATCTAAACTCGCCTAACGACGTTCTTGCATAATCACAGCTTTTTTTCTTAGTTGCTTAATTATGACGATTAACGAAACAATTTTTTCGCATCCGTAAATGCCACATGTGTTTTGACTAGTTCAGACTGGATAAATCGTGCATTTAATATTCGGGCAAATGATGAGAACGATCATATGATGATATCGACAATCTCGCTCTAATGCGGACAAATGAATGTACGCTATCTTTTTGCGATCGTAGATTTCGCAGAAATATTCACAGTTGCTCATTTTTGCCCATGGTTAATATTGGTACATCTACATAGAGTTTCATCGAATATGGGGACTCATCGAGAAACTATGATATTGTGATTCCGAGAAACAGAAGTTTCCGATTGCAGCAGCAATGTTGTATATTTTTTTGTGCTGTCACAGATCTGTTTCGGGGGATTGACCTGACGCCGCTACATGACGAATCAGACGCGATCCCGGTCTTTTCCAATCACAGTCTCGTGTCTGCCTAGCGAGAGAGAACCTTGTCCCGATCGAAATCGACTTTCCGTTCGCTCGCGATGTGTCAGGAGATTACGCATCGTTCTCAAGTCAATCGAATCCGCGATCGAATAATGGTTGAACGTTTTGATTGAACACACGGAAAGAACAATTTTGCTAAATCCAGATCTGAAAATAATTTTTGCTCAATAACCAAAAGAATTTGCGAGAGTCAAAATGACTGCTAGAATATAAAAACATTTTATAGCAATGCTTATCAATTTTAGCATTCCAATAAATTATTTTGATGATTAAACAAAAAATTATTTTCAGATCTGTATTAGCCAAATTTTTAGACCTTTCAACAAAATCGTTTTTTCCGTGCACCGCTTCTCTGATTGTTATACGGACCGATCCCTGCACTCTGCTCGAAGAAGTTGAGACAGTTTGGCAGCGCGCGTGTACCTGAGCCTACGATCTTATCGTAAATTCGTGTTAAGGATGCCTACGCACGCCTGTTACCGATAGGGATCCGGAATTTAGGTCAGATAGTATCCTCTAATAACGCCGCGCACTAATAGGCTTTACTTGCGGCCATGGCTGATGCCGCGATAGGACGATGCATCGTATCTCTCCCCTCCCAGATTACCAGTGTACTTGAAAGCCTCTCCGCGAATACGCACGTGCGGAGATCCGCGCAATGTGCATGTAACTATCAGATTTTACGTTTCCGCATACGATATTGCTGTTTGTCGTCGAAACCCATTTTACGCGTGACATTTAAAGCTCATATTGATCATATTGCAGCATGAGAAATAGGAGAGTTTTAAAAAATTTTTGAAAATCTCTATAAAATCCAGAAGCTATTCGTATTCTTGCTATAATCAGCCACATTCGATTATCATAATCATATGAATACCGATGTTTATTTCAAACAGTATGTAATATTTTAGTTTATTTGATTTAAATTTTAATAGAAATAACATACGAAATTTTTTAATAGTGAATGCGATTTGTTTTATTACGTCTCCTGAAGTGCAAACGTATCATTGAGTTTTCCAAATCGAATCTAAGATGTCATAAACTACTAGGACATTATAAATGTAAATGTACCGGTTTGGCAAGTAAGCAAAGCGTATACGAATCGTATACGAAGCCGCATCTAAATGTCACATCTAATGGAATGGAGATGAAGCTAGTTTCGACCTTTTACCAAGCAGAGAGAGAGAGAGACAGAGAGAGACAATGCGCATACAGTACCCCTCATGTTCTCAAATGGATAGGATAGGATTGCAGATCCTCGATATTTACGAATGATCCCGTGTGCACGGATAAACGATTTGGATGCACGCGAATGTCAAGAATATTGCATCGATAACCGGCGCATGAAATGCAGAGGAGCCAGGAGGTGCACAGAGCCGCGTATGCATACGCGTATGGGGGGCATATCGCGATCGATACCTCTGTTTCCTACTACGTGCATTTCCATATCTTTATGAAAGCCATTGCAAAATAGCGAAGCGCGCCGAAGACGAAACGAGAAACTTTGATAAACGGAAATCGATCATTGAGCTTTGGCAAATTATCTGGTATGCAACGCAGATTACATGCGCTCCAGAGGGAAATTTCACGAATATTTCCGCGTCTTGGTAAATTACATTTCACACGGTGGATTATCGTTATGCGCGTCAAAGGCCCTTACTGTAGAACGGTTTGTGTCTGTGTGATTGCGTTACGTGGAAAATATTTGCTCCGAAATTTAGTTACACCAAATACTCTATAACAACGACTGAGGTAGTATATGTGGAGAAAATGTTCGACCGAAAGCTCCGCTACGTGGTATGCGTCTACTGACGCGACGCCTAATGTGCATAAATTGCAAACTGGAGAGGATAAGAGCCGCGCGAAGCGCAAGTGCATCATCGATAATCTGTTTCGCTCCCATCTAAGCCTGGGGTTCGACCCTTTCAATCTCACTCATCGCTTTATCCATCGGTTTAGAAACTTTTACACGTACGTTTCCTTTTTAAGAAAAAGTCTTTCAGGATCACAATATGACGTAAAAGACTTCTTTTTTAAATAATAAATAGATTTTTTTATAAAGGATTCTTGATATTGAAATAATTAACAATAAATTCAAAGAGCAACTAAGAGTAAACGGCAGTAAGTGCCATGCGCAATTAATGCGGTAATTAATACGCACAAATTTTTGGTGTAAAATATATGTATTCATTTTCCCTGATTATGTACATCCATTGAGAGAATCGAACATTTCGACTTCATTTCAAGCTATTAACGATATCAAACAGTTATTTCGCAGTTTCACGTTCTCCGTACATACATATAAAGAGTATATATAAACGAAACATCTTCCATTAACATCTTACTTCCCATTAAGAAATGCATTATCCACTGTTGTTAAGCTGAGTGAAAACCAATGCAAATCAAGAAACGACGAACTTTCATCTTACTAATTGACACATTAATTTATTTTCTTCTCTGGATTTTTTTGTATTTTCTTCCACCAAAGTTTTCACATTGTAATTGATAAGATGAAAGCTCGTTGCAGTAAAATAACTGAGTCCAACGGAAGTCAAAGATTTAAAAAAGAAAGAAATCAACTAATTACCGCGCCATTTATTCTCAGTTTGCTCTTTAAATATTCATATTTGTTATATCTTATTTAATCACAAATGTATTTTCTTTTCGTCGTTTAATTATTTCTGGGGCACTTCAAACTTTTTCTCACATCTGGGAATTAATGATCTATTCGATACACAATGCCATTAATTAATATGCATCCGTAATATCCACATTCACATTTCGACGTAATTTCGCTGCACGATAAACGTTTTTACGCATCAACGAGTGTTACGGCATATATAGGTAGGAATTATGAGAACGATTGATCGTGTTTGCATCCCAATTAATAATTCGACGAATTCGTATATCATAATAGTTATTGCTGTCCCATTATGAAAATGCCCCCGCATGTTTCAATGTCGGCCGGCCCCGGCTTATCCCGCTTCGGTACAAAGGTTCGATTTTCGGTTTATGGGCGAGAAGCCCGATTGCTGGACGCATACTAATTTGATGCATACGCCGATAATATACCGCTGGATCTGCTCGTGACAAACATCAACATAAAGGAGCTTAACAGGGAGGGATGTATCTGCTGTATCTGAAGAGAATGCATTTAGTTATGCTCTGAATCTATACATGAAACATAAAGATCATATAATCAAAGTCAATTCACAATGTAGAGAAAAACTCGTAAGTAAATAATGTGGATGAACGTAATAAAGGTAGAATTAAAAGAGTTGAATAGGGTAGAATTAAAGAATAAAGGAAATTTTTTTTTCTTTTAAGCCGTATGATTGAAAATTGTATAATATTCTTTAAAAAATATCGGATATCAAGGCTTTCGATCTGCCATGATTCGATAACACAATACCGATGATGTTCAGACGTATAAAAAAAAAAGAGAGAAAGAATTAACCTTTATGTTCACGACGAGATAGCTTGTTCGCGGTAAATACCAAGAGACTCGCAGAATGCTCGATGTTAATAGCTGTCCGGAAGGACTCGTTGCAGCGGCGCTAAAGGGTCCTTTGTGGAGCTACGCATACGTTCTGAAATTCCTGCGTCGCTGCTACATCCGCGTTCTCACGGATATACCGGGCGGCGCGCGCGCGCGCGCTGTATCCGTCCATGTTGAAAGCGGAACTTTGAGGACAGGTTGAAAGAGCTGCCGTGCATTCTTCGAGGGCCGCTCGTTACGGGGGTTTCGTTACGAAGAATTTGACGGAAGAATTCGCTCCCTGGACTGAGACCAATTGAAACGTTCCTCTTGCTCTTTGAGAGAACATTTGGTATTATCATGAAAACTGTAACGTGGCATAAAGTGAGGCGCGAGGCTCATTCTGTAACGAGAAAATATCTCATAAATATGTAAAACCTGTGAGATAAGAGGTAGTTCAAGAAAATGCGTTACGTGCACGATCAATATCGCGAAAATTCTTCAGGCTCTTGATGTATATGTATGGTGTATCGATGGCTTATCTTTTAGCATCGCGTTGAAAAATATTATACTGGCAAATTGTCGCTTGTCAATTTTTAATGAATAAATTGAAATTTTAAAAAATTACAATATAAACGTTTCGTATTAGGCGTGTATGTTTTATGTATACTAAAGGTTATATAGTAACTAGAATTTCTTTATTAAATATAATAAAAACTAATGAAATATTAACTATAACAAATAATTTTTCTATTGTTGCAGTTTAATACACCGAGATACAAGGCCAGAGCCAGCGATACGATGTTCGACACTGAGGGGAGCGACCAGACTACCGTCAGCACCAGACCATCGCAGTGAAGCTCGATTAAGGATAGACCCGAAGGTGTTGGTCTTCGTAGAAACTCTATACTCGAGGCTAGGCCGAGAGATAGCTGAGCTGTTAGTTTATAATCGAATAAAGTGAGTACCGGACTGTTTTTCTTTCGTATCCGGCCCGCGCGCGAAGGGTCGAGCGCAGCGCTCCTTACTTATCGACAAATCAAACAATTACAAATCTGCACGATTCACTGCAAAACTATTTTTATTCCGACGGATAATTATAAAATAATTTTATTTACCTAGACGGAACGAAACGCGTTGTCGTGGATGCCTGACCTACTTGCGTGCGCCGCGTTTCGCAACACGTCTTTCATGCTCGCCGACCTGATTCCGGAAAAAAGATTTCACCCTAAGCGCGATCTGAAAGTAGGTCGCCAACGTAAGCTTTCTTCGGAGTTCTCGCGCGCGACCGCAATAGTTCATACTATTAGACAAAAAGTATATGGCTAATGGCACCCAGTTGCTGAAGTCGATCAATATCGTGACACATACCTCCTGAACGTGCCGTGAGCCCCGCTAGCTCGCAATCCGTATAAGCGCTTTACTCCCCCCCCCCTCTCCTCTCTCTCTCTCTCTCTCTCTCTCTCTCTCTCTTGTGAAAAAGAAATGGTAAATGATCGTAGTATTCCATGAATTTGAACTGTGCAAACATTTTATTCTCGTAGTTTCGAACGATAGACCGATGGTAAATACACGTATGTTTACTTTAATTTTACAAAATCGTCCGCCAACATAAATTCGCTACGCGCTACTCATCGAGAATTTAGGAAGAATTTATAAATTGCATTTTATTTAGCCCTCCTCTCTCTGGGCTTTTTACGACAGAACTATCTCGCTAATGTCGTGAGCGTTCATCGAGAGAAAATATTTCGACATTTTTCCCAGAAAAAAAACCTATATCACCTAGATCTTGTTGTAATTCCCCCGTACCGCCGATTCGAATTTTTTCAAAAATTCCCGGCGTTTATAATTCCGCGACGGAGATTCCGCAAATCCCGGTTTTACTACATCGCCGGCGATGTTATTTCGTGAATGTCGGTATAAAAATTAGAAATGCAGATTTCTCGACCGTCGTAAAGTCCGGGGCAGTTTTTACGCTATTATACGGGTTCCCCGCGCGAATATTTTAAAACCATTTCTCCCATTTAGGGAGTTAGAAATCGGCATAATGTTCGGCGCGCGGATATCGTGAAACCAGTTACCTCGGCTCTTCTACAATCGTCCTATTAACTTCGTTCTCAACGTACCGAATCTTTATATGTCGTAGAATTAAAATCCTGAAATACCTTTTGTAAAATCACCGCAAGAAACGTCGATTTGTTATAAACGTGTATTAATAATAGACGAAAATGAAATTTGCGTAGAAAATCACCGCTTATTTAGAACTAGAATATTCCACATTTCAGTATGCAATTTTGCATGGTTACACGGACATTGTTAATATGTAACAATATGAATTATTCACCGGTAAACGTATAGACTAGTAATATATATTAGTGCTCCAATATTCGGATGACTTGTTAAATAAATATTAACGTTGTTCGCAGTACGGTAAACAGGGAACCATACGTAACCATATCGTGGGTACAACTATAAACGATACCTGTATCAGGCGATGAAATTTCGTATCTATGTATGTACAGCTGCGCGGAAGATTTCACGTTTCCATTCCGCGAAAATTGCATGACGTGAGCGTGCCTTGGAAAAGTTCGAATCTCGCTATCGGGGACACGGTGTATCGTGAAATTTCCCTCATTCATGATATGCGCATTCCTTAAACGGTAATAGCCGGGCCAAAAGCCTGTTATAGGAGTCGAGCGATGTAGGTATAGGGACCGCTCGAAATTTCGACGCTCGGTGAGAGAGAGCTTAAGCCGGATATGTCCTCGGATTTCGAAATAGGATAAGGTCCTGAGAGAGAAAGAGAGAGAGAATATGCTAGATGGCGAGGGAGAGGGATAAGCGGAAGTCACCTATGTCGATTATCTCTCTCGATTCTTCCGCAGTTGATCAAATAATAATGACGCGATAATGCGATCCGTTACCTGCTTCCGCAGGCCTTGGCGCTTATCGGGAATTATAGCGACGTGGCAGCGTGACACGGTGCACATGAGAGGGCGTATTGTAGTTTAGAACGCAACACGAGATAGAGACGAATAGCGATTAGGGGGGGGCCCCCCATCTCTCGCGCCCATCCTTCGTCGTAGGACGCACGAATACGCGGCGACGTACATACAACACCGCGCGATACGGAGTGAACATTGCCGGGAGTGTGCGTATCCCCGTGAACTGGCGAACGGGCGAGGTGGAATGTTCTCACCTGTGCGTGTTGGAGAGATAGAGCGTATATCGGTATGCCGATATGATCGGAAAGGTAACCAACAGCGCCCGGGCGCGTCAGTGATACGCGCGCTCACGAGTGCACGAGGGATACCACCGACCAAGCTCGTCGCGGTGCTATCCAGTGCTATCTCGTTTGCTTTATCCGGCGCAATTTCATAATCGATACCGGCGCCTGGGGGTAAGGGGAACGGACAGCGTTGCGGGGCGGGGGAGGGGGATCGTCCACGCTGGCCGCACAGCGTCCACCTGTGTGTGCGGCGTCAGGCAAATTTTGTTGTCGGAGATTGCGAGGCGCAGATATGGAAAGCGTCGCGTCGGATCGTGTTCCACCGCGAGCCGCGTACATACCACGTACACGTACGTGCACCAACGTCGACGCACAACGGTGTACATAATGAAATATTTATTGCGCCGGCCCCCCACCCCCCTTGCGTGTGGAGGAGCATCGCTATGCCCGCCTTACGCCGTGTATATATATATATATATATACATGCGCGTAATGCGATATGGAAAAGTTTTGAATCTGGGATCCAGCTGCGCTAGATAAAATGCGATATCTTGCCCCGGGATACTCTCTTTCTCTCTCATTTTCTCTCTCTCTCTCTCTCTCTCTCTCTCTTTCTCTTACTCACTCACTCACTCACGAGAGTTGAGATGTAAGAAAAATAAGGGGCGGAGGAAGAAGTTTCTATAAGCGAGTTGAGTTTTCAACCCGTTTTACCTTACGTACGAGCAGCGTCTGTTTTATCTTGCCTGCAGCTTTTATTGCTTATTAACTGCTTTTATGTGCACTCGTATCGCTTTATCGATTATGCCCATATCGCGGACGATGAATAATGCAGATATAAAACACACAAGATGCTTCAAATTACTGAGAGCCCGTTCTTTCGGAAACGAAGTTTTTACGCGAAGTAAGAATTTTGTAAGATAATGGATATTAGAAAATGGATATTAGAATATATACATATAACGAAGAATTACTTAATATTGAAAATTAATCTTTTTATATTGAGAAAAGCTTCAGCAAGACGCATTACATAGGAAACTTTCATGCAGAAATTCCGATTTAACACGACTTTCTGGCGTATATAAAAACCGATCAGACAGTCAAATGTCAATTGTCTTTATCGCCGATATTCTATTCGACACATGACAATCAAACGAATTCTCTCTTTCTCTCTCTCTCTCTCTCATCCCTTACGATATTTTTACTTCATTCCCCATTGATAGGGTTTCTCGATGCGTATCTGTCTGTCGAGAAACCTTCAATAAACGTTCGCGTATTATCAGCAGCGTGGAGAAAGAAGTCTTCTATTTCTCAATCGCGAGAACGGCGATATCGATCACGCTACTCCAATGCTCCGGCGACTGTCGTCTTCTCTTCCC